AAAAAAAAACAGTTAATTTTAACGTTTTGTGATAATAAAAAAAGGTAATTGAAAATCTGACCATGATGAAATTAAAACTTTAAAATTGAAAAAGTAACACAAAATCCTGTCAAACCGAACATAGTTCAAGTGATCAAGATACTTATCTCTTGACTAAAAAAGGTCATGGATTCGAACCCCCACATGTCGTCTTGGATACACGATACTTAATGAGTTCTGCACAAATTTGGAGAAAACTGAAAAAAAATTTAGTTTTTGAAGGAATTTATATTGTTCTATTAAATGACTTAAATGTCTCCTTTTAAGTTTATGCAAGTTTGTTAAGTATTATGTCACCTAAGTTTATCATACAAGTTTATCCTTCGTCAATTTTAACATCAATAAACGAATACGGTATGGTTAAAAAATACAAAAGTATGGTGACCAAATTGAAATTTGTTTTAACAATAAGGATCGGATGGAAAAAGAAGAACCATGACACAATTATAGCCAAATGTACATGTGAAGGTATAATTTAGTTATGTAATGTACATCGGACGGTGGTGAAAGCGTGGAGGAGAGTAGAAGATTGGATCGTACGGTGTGGGTTTAGCCGACAGGGATTGGCCGCTGCACCCACCACACCGACACATTTGAACGTCAAGACCAACGATTTCTGTCCACTTCTTTTGACTACACATCCACGCAATCTTGTTGGCCCACGTGTCAACGTCCGCCACGTGGCCTATCTTCACGCCCACGTGTCCAGATCCCTCCATTAGAAGAAAAAGAGAGAGACGAAATATATATATATATATACTTGTTGTCTTTTCTATACACCGAACTATATGATTTTATTTATCGAAAAGAAATTTCAACTTTCAGAACATCGAATTTGACTTGTGAAAATTCAAAGTGATTAGTTTAGTTATTAAATTTATTATACACACAACACTTGAATGACGTGATTATATGTATGTACCGACGTAGTTATGTATTGAATCATATATAGATTGGTTTAGATGGATCGTGATTGTTAAATCATATATTTTAAATATTTTAAAATCAAAATGAAGTAAACCTCGAAGTTTATAAATGAAAATATGATAAAATCATACTATTATCTATTTTTTTCTCTATAGAGTACTACAGTAATTTAAATAGGATAATCAAGGTCTTAATTTTTTATCGACATGTCAACATTTCTAATTCGACATTAACCTAAGTGAATAAACATTTCGATAGTATAATAAAAATTCGATAAAATATAAAAAATATAAAGACAAAATATACAAATTATAAACCTAAAATCACTAATGTAGTGACATTATATTAATAATAATAATTGTTAACTTATTTAAAATTTTGAAATTCTTATTTGTTATCGACGCTTTTATTTTTATAATCTGTACATAAATATCTATCCGCGTCGACAATGATTTTATCGATATTTCTATCGATATTTAAAAAATAATTGAGACATTGACATTTTTAAAACATTGCTTAAGAGTAGAGATTACAAATAATTAAACTACATTTAGTTCAATAATCTCATTTGATTGTTACATTTTATAGATATGGCAACTTGTGATAGCAAGTTTAATTTGTACATTGTGTGTTTGAATTCCGACAGAAAAGTAATGCAAATACGGTTTTATTTAATATGTTTTTAGTTGACAAAATTACGATTAAAATACAAATTTGGTTATTTAAAATGATGTTCAATTATAAAAGTCAACAAGTCAAAAGATCGGCGGAATATACAACAGAATATGCTATTTACTTATTTATTGACAAATTCTTTTACCACTATTTTCCCCCAAGCATCCCCAAAGTCTTCAATCTTGAATTTTACTAATCTTTTCCACCAATCTTCCAACCTCTTATTTATGTTAGCTGACTATAAAAAAAAATGCACTAATTTTAGTGTTATTTATTTTATTTTTGTTAATTCGTGACTTGGATTTTAAAATTTATTTTTATTATTTGTTAATTTGTGTTATATTAATTTCGTTTTTCCGTAGGTGGAGCACGGGATGATGGGCTTGGACGAGTAAATTCGACAAGAACTCCGATGACCCATAAACTCTAGTGTTGGGCTTTCTGATGGGCCCAGTTACCTTGTTTACGATGGTGAAACTGGGCCTGGTCGGGCCCACTGGTCCAGGTAGGAGAGAGATTTAGCCTCCAACGATGTCGTATTGTTGCTCGCTGTAAAATCCGTCGACCCAACTGTCAACTCCCTTCTCCGCGCCCTCATTTTCCCGCCACCGTCGGAAAGCAAACCCTAGCGACATCGCCATTGGCAGTTTGGAAGAGCTTCAATCGAATCCTATGGTTCAATTTCACGAGCACATAATCACAGAGCTTCTGGAGGACTCTAATGGAGGTTTAGTAATAATCTCTTCAGGTTTGAATCTTGCGAAGCTTGTTTCCTCCCTCCTCCTCCTTCACTCTCCGTGCCAGGGCACTTTGCTTCTCATATCTCCATCTTCTCACTACCAAATCTCGCTCAAATCCCAAATCCTTTTCTACCTCAAGCGTCATCAATCCGATTCTCTAACTTTCCCCTCTGAAATCTCTGCCGACCTCCCTGCTCATCACCGTCTTTCTCTCTACTCCTCCGGGTCTGCTTTTTTCGTCACCCCTCGAATTCTTATCGTTGATCTTCTCACGCATAAACTTCCCACTTCTAACATTGCCGGGCTTATTCTTCTCAACGCGCATTCTCTATCGGAAACATCCACCGAAGCTTTCATTGTCCGAATCATCCGCTCCCACAATCGAAATGCCTATGTTCGAGTTTTTTCTGATAAGCCACACGCGATGGTTTCTGGGTTTGCTAAGTCAGAGCGGATCATGAAGTGCTTGTACGTTCGTAGGTTGCATTTGTGGCCGAGGTTTCAAGTTTACGTTTCGGAGGACTTGGAGAGGAACCCACCAGACGTGGTGGATATAAGGGTGCCAATGACGAAATACATGGTGGGGATACAAAAATCCATAATTGAGGTTATGGACGCGTGCTTGAAGGAGATGAGGAAGACTAATAAAGTTGATGTTGAGGATTTGACAGTTGAGAATGGGTTATTCAAATCATTCGACGAAATTGTGAGGCGGCAGTTGGATCCAATTTGGCATACATTAGGGAAAAGGACGAAGCAGCTCGTGTCAGACTTGAAAACTTTGAGGAAATTGTTGGATTATCTTGTTAGGTTTGATACAAAATTTAGTTTTTCTTGATAATACTTTTTCTGTTTGGTTTTATTCTGTTATTATATACATATGTATGTACATGTTTGTCTGTACTGGGGTGTGAAATTACTCAGTTTTTTTTAACTTTGTCAGGGAATTAAATTAGTGGCTGTAATAAGTGGTTTAGCATTACTTTGACGGTGAATAATGAAAGGATCGCTCTCTGGTAACACTAAATTGCCTATGGTTTTGTGAAATGACATTTGGGTAGGTACGATGCAGTGACTTTCTTGAAGTATCTGGATACTCTGAGGGTGTCTGAGAGCTTTAGGTCTGTCTGGATATTTGCAGAAGCGAGCTACAAGATCTTTGACTATGCTAAGAAACGGGTATATCGATTTGTTAGAGCTGATGGTTCGAAAGTATTTGAGCAGGGTAAGGGTGTGGTTGGCAAAAGGCGAAAATTGAAAGGAGACAACAAGAATGAGGAAGAGGGTGAGGGCATAGGTTTATGAATTTATTTATATTTTTCCCACATCTATCGCATGAATTCAGATCTGCTATATAGAATACGGTAGAATTGGGGAAAGGGGGAAAAAATAGAGAAACTGCAGAAACATGGGTCAGAAATGAGTTATATGGTATAGCTTTAAGCATTATTATTTAATTGGTTTGTGTCTATTTTTCTGATAGTTATTTGCTAACTCTCACCAGGTACGACTGGTAGGATAACTTTGGATGAAGTTCTGGAAGAGGCGCCAAAGTGGAAGGTCTTACGTGTGAGTGAGTGAGTTCCAGTTTCCGTGCAACATTTTCTGTTCGATAATCGTAAATATTGGTTAGAAAATTTAGCCTCCAAGGACCGCCCCATTGGAAAGGGCATGAATTTTGTGGTTATGGTATCATATATGATGAGGTTTTGTGTTCAAATTTTTGGGCAAGCTTAATACCAAATATCCTTAATGTCTACTGAAGCCGCATCTTGGAACAGGTGCGGATGCCCTTGATTTCAGTGGTAGAAAGCTAAAGAGCTATCTATTCTGATATTTGGTTTAGTTTTGGTCTTTCAACCAATGTCTTTCAGAAGTCGGCATTTTTTTAATTTTTTATGGTTTTATGAAACAGAAGAAGACACGAAGCTCAGTAAGAATTTGAAAAGTTAAATTCTTATCATTATTCACAGGATGTTCTCGAAGAAATAGAAGAGGAAAGAAAGAAGCGGCTCTCTGAAGGAGAAGAGAATCTGCTAGAAAGTGATGAGGACAGCAGTGGCATTGTTCTAGTGGCATGCAAAGATGAGCGCTCATGCATGCAGCTGGAAGAATGCATTATGAACAGCCCGCAGAAGGTCATTTGGCTCTCTAATAGTTTTGAATTATTTATTTCTTGTTAGTGGAGTTATATTTACTTCGACTTTCACGATGCACTTTTTATTTTGGCCGTGCGGCATATTCAATGGTTTATTCTGGAACCTAAATGTATTTAAATGTACTCTAACTGCATACAGCCCTGGTATACTTTCTGTATTTTGTGCGAAGTGTCGCTGAGTTCCAGGTCAGACATTTTAAAGTACGGTTGCAGGCATTCCATGAAGATTCCCACTTTCACTTTGGGCCTCGCATTTGAACCCTTCACTGGATTTAAATAGTTATACAATTGGATCTGACAATTTTTTTGAAGAATATTTGATTTTGTGGAGAATTAGTTTCTCCAAAATCACTGACCTATGATGTCCTTCTTATCTTATGTTTCAGTTGTGTTCTTTTTTTACAACAGTCTTACCAGAAAAAGAAAGAACTTGAAGATTATGGCCACAACTTCGAATGGAAATGAAATTGCTTAACTATTTGCATGTTGAAGTATTAAGCACATGTAGATACAATTTCAAAGCATAATTTTCTCTCAGAATTCTAGAAATGGGTCGTAGAAGATGTACACTTCTCCAAATTTTTGCTTATTCTGTTTCATTTGAAGATGGAAAAGGAAAACTATCTCAATGGTATATGTTATCAGATATTTAGAGTTACAATGTATTTTCTTGTGAAGGTCCTACGGGAAGAATGGGAGAATTACTTGCTGAACAAAATACAACTGCGTGACATGAAACCCCATAATAAAAAGAAACACAAGAATCCCAAAGGTTTTGGGGTTCTTGATGGAGTAGTTACGATAACACCTGTACAAAATGCTGAAGCTAGCAGCTTAAACAAACAGGAACGTGATGCACTATTAGCAGCAGCATCAGAAATAAGAAATCGAGAAAAAAATGATTCTGCTGTTGGGGGTGATCGACGGAATGACATGGATGGTACAGAACAAGCCACAGGAAAGAGAGAAGAAAGGAGTAAAAAAGGTGCTTCCAAGACTAATAATCCGGGGGATAAAAGAACAGTTGATAATCAGAAGGTAGCAATTGCCGATCCCCAGCCTAAAGATGATAATAAGGGATATTCAAAGGGAAAGAGAAAACTAAGGAGTAAAAAGGTTGCCGTCAATGTTGGGGATTCTAAGGATAAAAACGTTGGAAATCATAAAGCAACAATAGATGATGAAGTTGAAGCATGTCCATCAGGTTGTGAAGATCAGATGAATAAGAAAAATCCAATGGTTTTGGATGGGTTTTCTGAAGCCGCTTGCCTAGCTGCACCTTCAGAGGAAGGGAAGGAGGGAGAAGAGCTGAAGCTGCTACCTCCAGTGCAGTTTTATGCCCTTGAAAGCGATCAACCTGTCCTAGACACCTTGAAGCCTTCCATTGTTATTGTGTACCATCCAGATGTAACTTTTGTGAGGCAGATAGAAGTCTATAAAGCTGAGAATCCATCAAAACATTTGAAGGTCTATTTTATTTTCTATGAAGATTCTACTGAGGTGCAAAAATTTGAGGCGAGCATTCGGAGGGAGAACAGGGCATTTGAATCTTTGATCAGACAGAAGTCACTGATGATGATCCCAGTTGATCAGGCTAGTTCTCATGGAATCATCTATCTTTTTTTCTGATATTTCTGGAATTAAATTGTTAATGACGTTTATTTTTCTCATTTGGAATTCACAATCTGTTAGTATCAGACGGACTATGGGATTTTATATGCCAGGGGTATATCACAAGGGTTTATTTTACCTTTCTTGTTCCTTTTACATTTTTTCTTGGTTTTGTCATGTACTGTAGTGTTTGTCTTCTATGTTTGTGGTTTTCTTCACTGACATGGAAGGTGCTCTACTACTTATGTTGCCCCACTCTGGTGGAAATTGTAGGAGTTTCGAATTGTTTCAAAGGACGTAGTAAACAATGTTATTTCTTGCTGTAGCAACTATTTATAAACACATAAGTGCCTATGATAGGAAATGTTCTACATATATTTAGTTAGGAAATTGAATTCGTTGATATTTTTAGTAATTTGTGGTCTTGTTAGACTTTTAAACTCTCTAGTTTCTAATATTGCCTTTTTCTAGTTGGTTTCCTTAACATGGGTGGATTGTTTACTGGATTGTACCTCTTGAGATGTTTAATTACACTATTTATACTGTTTGGCAACTCATTGGAATCATCTTTGTCCCAAGCAGAATGGCTACTGCTTAGGATTAAACTCGTCCGTAGAACCACAAGCTACAACACAGAATTCAACAAGAAAGGCCGGTGGAAGAAAGGACGTGGAGAAAGAAATGCAGGTGTGTGATGTGATATTTCCTAATCTTCTTTGCTTCCTTCTATTATTTCTTAAACATGTTTTTTTGATAAATTTTACTTCTTCAGGTCATTGTGGACATGCGGGAGTTTATGAGTAGCCTTCCAAATGTTCTTCACCAGAAAGGCATGCGCATAATTCCAGTGACATTAGAAGTTGGGGATTATATTCTTTCACCCCTTATATGCGTTGAGAGAAAGAGTATTCAGGATCTCTTCATGAGCTTTGCTTCAGGACGCCTTTATCATCAAGTAGACACAATGGTGCGCTATTACAGAATACCTGTTCTACTAATTGAATTCTCACAGGACAAAAGCTTCTCGTTTCAGGTAACTTGAGCATGTGTACTGAGAAGTGCTGAGTTCCGGTTTCATGATGATAGTTCTGACTCAATAATCTTCCCCCTTGCAGTCTGCAAGTGATATTGGTGACGATGTGACACCAACAAACATTATGTCTAAGCTTTCGCTGCTCGTTCTTCATTTTCCCCGTCTTCGAATAATTTGGTCTCGCAGTCTCCATGCTACTGCTGAAATATTTGCCTCTCTGAAGGCAAATCAAGATGAACCTGATGAAACCAAGGCTGTTAGAGTTGGGGTTCCATCTGAGGAGGGCATTGTCGAAAATGATGTGAGGTAAGATTGATATATAGCCTTCTGTCCTTCTCTCTTTATCTCTCTTTTATAGGTAAGAAAGGAATACAATATGGCTGATATCTTAAACAAGTAGCAGTTCAGATTGGCACATGTTTAGGTGCCGATCTACTGTCGACAGAATTATTGGCACCCATAATAGGATTCTAATAGAAAGAAGCAGTTATTTTGTGTTTTTCCAGAAGTAAAAGCACTAATCTCAAAAGTTAGAGCCACACAGTATGTTTAGTAAAATGAATCATTCTGGGTTGACTTGATAGTCAATAAGGGCTCATGAAAAAGTAAAAAGTTTAGGTAGAATGGGTTCAATTCATGGTCTACTCTTGATTTATTATTCTAAGAATACGATTTATAAAATGAACTATTGTCAAACTAAATTGTTTGGTGCCATGTCGATTTCAGAGCGGAAAATTACAACACCTCAGCCGTGGAGTTTCTAAGGCGACTTCCGGGTGTAACGGATTCAAATTACAGGGCAATAATGGATGGATGCAAGAGCTTAGCAGAGCTCTCCCTTCTACCTGTTGAGAAGCTTGCAGTACTAATGGGTGGACAGCAAGCTGCAAGAACTCTCAGAGACTTCCTTGATGCGAAGTATCCAACCTTATTGTGATTGATTTATTGAGGCCGAGGCCTCTTTATTATCTTTCTTCAACCTTCCAATCCAACTTCAGAGCTGTGAAGAAAAGGAGGCTTTATTTAACCATAATTCTTCATTACAAAATTTCACACAGTTTCTAATTTTATGCAAAATAGATTCTTAACTAAATTTATAAAGTTATTGTACAATTGTTTTATTGGTCTTCCTACCTTTTGTTAGGTTTAAGTCTTCTTGTACTGCTCTGAATGTGTGTACAATTATTCAAGGGAGTTTCTGAGCTTCATCTGAATCATAATGTAGAATTTTTTTCTAGACTATGTATGGATAAAGAGATAGTTTGTATAGGGGCGAGTTCGTCTGGTCTATTTGAAATCGTTTCTTGGAGGTGCTTGGAGTTTATCTGGCTCTTAACAGAGTGTTGGCGATTTCCCACTTTTTGTGGGGTGTTCGGTTTGAGAGGAATAGTAGAATTTTAATGGTTGTGACTTGTGAGACGTGAGGAAGAAATCTGGGATATTATTAGATTTAATTCTTTCTAGGGAAGATTTTTTGTAATTATCAGTTATGGGTTTTTGCAGCCCTTTTTTATAGGTAGATCCTTTTTGTTGAGTTTATATTTTTCATTTCTTCTGAAGTGTGGTTTCTTATGAAAAAAAAAAGAGCAAAAAAGGAAATATTTTAAATTTCATGATTATTTTCTTGTCAGCAGAATTCCTTGATTTATTAATATTCTTAATTTCGTGTATCCAACAAAAACTGCTAGAAAAATTATGCGAACCAATATTCTTAATTTCGTCTTTCGACTCACGCATCAGTTCATGAAATTTATGAATTATGTAAGTATGAATTTATCCGACAAATTAACTTTTGAAATCAATGTGCATAAAAAAACGAAGTGGAAATAGTAATTTCGGATATTTAACTTTGGTACTTAAAATATAATGTTTTAAAAAGTAGAAACTAAACAAAACTAGTCATCTTTGAGATAATTCTCAATCTAATTCTTAATCTTTTAAAAATTTCAATTTTAATTTTATTCACAATGAGTTATAAATTCTCAATTGAATCTTACTAAAAAATGTTAGGATTTGGTAATACAAAATAATGTGTGATTAAGTTGTTATTTTATTAACATATTTAGACACGTGAGCACATCGAGTATTAAAAATAGATTCGGTTGATGGATGAGTTAGATTTCATATATCAAGTAGCATTCGAGTTATATATCCACATCTCTAAATATGTCAATAAAATAATAATTTAATAATAAATCAACTTTTTCTTAACTAATCTTCTAACGGAGAAAAAACGAAAAAATAAAATTGAAAAATTTCAAAACATCAGTTGCCATGAAACTATTTATGAAGCTCGTTTTATTTAAAATAATAATATCTGAGTGAAAGTAATATTATAAGTTATTTATGCGAACCAATAACACCATCGGATCCGTGGCGCAATGGTAGCGCGTCTGACTCCAGATCAGAAGGTTGCGTGTTCGATTCACGTCGGGTTCAATTCCTAAAATTAAAAATCCCCAGGTGAATTACCTTTTTGCCCCGCCCCCGAAATTTATTTACTTTCCCCTTTCTTTTTTTTTTCCGGCGAATTTCAGTACACAGATCCTTTTTGATAATGCAATTCCGGAATTCATCGTTTCATTTCAGAAGAAGCAAGTTGTGGGTTATTATTATTTTAAATATTAAGTCCAAATTTGAATGATTGGTTTGAAATTAATGGTTGGAAAAGAAAAAAAAAAGCTTTGATGAATTAAACGGCAAAATGATGGGGGAATTTCAGCTTGTTTAATGCATGCTCTCACATTTCTTGGAGTTCAATTATATTCCTCCCCCATTATCTCAAAGATTCCATTTTGTAATTCTTAATTTCCAAATATTCAATATGACTTTACTCGATTATACAAGATATTTATTAAAATATTAAAGTTCTATTCCAAAAAAAAATATATAAATTAACTCGACGCATGTAGCGCTTACCAAAAGAGAACTATGATGAAGTTTGAACTTATTTTTTTATAGTCCAATTTCGTGAAATTCAAAATTTTCGCGTGGCTAGAAAAGCAGAAGTAGAGTAGGGTGCAAATTTGCATCAAATCCCACCAAAATGGTAACCATGAAAACCTTTAATTTCATAAGAATATTGATATTGAAAGATAGTGCGCATGTCCAATATCCATCCCACTTCCAATGGTCAAATCATTCACAGTATGCAATCTCATAAAGATCAAACGATTGGGATTGATAGAGGAAAAGGCATTTCCCAATGCAAACCTCAAGGAGGAGATACTTGGAAAAAGAAAGTCATATTGTCTCTTAATGCAATAAGATTCAACATCTTATCAAAGATTTATAGAAATATATACAATTAATAATGAGAGAAAGTAGTGCAATTTACAAGGAGTTTTTGTCTATTTATGATGAAATTTTATTATGTTAAGTTTGATTTGCGGTGGAAGGAAAGAAACTGCGGTGGTTGTTGGGAATGACAAATATTAAAACCTTTTGTTGTCCCACGTCGGAAGAACAACCTTTGGGAAGTTGGTTTATAAGCATTGACTCAGTATTGAGTTTATAAACTTGGTGTGAGGCAAGCCAAGACCAAGGTCCACACGTACGCCGTCGTCGGGCTCGGGCTTGATTTTCCTTTCGGGACAAGTTTCTTCTAAAGAGGTCGTGCCGATTTTGCGAAAAGTCATGAGTTCGAATTTTCAATCATAACTAAAAGAATATGATTACAAAACTTGGAAAAAAAACACCTTAGCTTAAAACTATGCCAAGGTTCAATACATTTAATTTGTCCCACCACTGTTTGGATATGGCCCAAAATTTCTTCTATCATCTTTCACTTCAACCACTCCCCAAAAAGATCACAATTTCTCTCATGGGAAACACCTCTCCTTTATGTGAAATTATAGAGTGGTGTGTCAGATTGAAGTAAAAAGATAATTAAAGTGGTTCCAAACAGCTGAAGTATCTACGATACATCCTCTTTCTTCCATTTGATCAACAGTAATTGACACCTCTATTTGATCAAGAGATATTGAGTTCGAATCCTCCACCCCATTTGTTGTACTAAAAAAAAGTCCACCACCTATAAGAGTATTTCATTGCATTCTACCCATATAAACCTTCCAATGACCTCACGATTCATGTTTATCAGTTGAACTTATAAGAAAAACAGATATGCTCGTAAGCTCATCATACCTCTTTGAGAGACATGTTTTTTATTAAAATCAAGAAACTATAATACACATACGGATTGTATTTGGTTAACTTGTCATTTTGATTTGATACTTTCTTTTTCAAAATCTAGGCTATTTTACACAAAATAGAATCTAGGCTATTTTACACAAAATAGAACCATTTTCTAGACCCTATAGAGTGAAAAGAAAAAGAAAAAGAAAAAGAATTTGGACAAATTTTTTTTTTTTGAGGGAGAAAAGTGGTGTGTAGAAAGTCAACTTTCATCTAAAGCACTTGTATGTCCAGCTTGCTTTGTTGGAGGGTAGAATTGACATTGGACATCACAGCTTGATCACCAACCCTATTATTCACCTCCATGGTCTCCTCAGCTTTGTAAGTTGAATGAACACCATACACAACATAGAACAAAGTTATGAAACAAGACCAAATTGCAAACCTTTGAAAGGATAGCATCCTCAATGTGGTCATGAGGAAGACATTGAGGAATATCGATATCGCCGCGGGCCACGGCATGAATGGCACCGACCACTCCTCTGGCGTGTGGTGGCTCGGCACTTTGTAGTGGAAGAAGGCGATGATGGAGATTGTCGATCCACCGAAGAACAAAAGACCCCACAGTTGTTGGTTAAGCTTCCACGATAGAGAGAAACCGATGGCCGAACATGAAAGGAGGAGGAGGAACAGGAGAATGCGAGACGGAGGATGTTTGCTTACCATAACGTATCGACGATAGATGGTTGCATTTGCCACTAGGTAGAAGACCATGAGTGTCCCAATTGAGATCATTTCAATCACTATGTAAAGCTCAGTGAAGAGTGCAATTGAGGCTGTGCAAAGACCTATACATTAGGAAATTAAGAAGAGATTTGCATTAGAAATTTCATATAGAAACTTGGTTTCTTTTATATTACCCCTTTTTCTTTTCTTGCAAAAAGGTCTAAAGAAGGCCCATTTTTGACATAGTTGAGTGAAAATAGCATGAGACCGAACGAATGACTAACACAAGAATTGTAAGTTTAAACTACCTACTAAATTAAGAAAAGTTAAAAAATTAAGTTGATGGATTAAGGTATTTAATATTATTTAATCTTTTATACATATTCGTAAGAAGGAGTCATTGAAATAGGTTCGAAATTAAATATATTCAAAAGATTAACTTTCGTTTCATGATCAGCTTCCATGTTTGGATCTAATCATGATATTAGAATATAGAAAGTCTTTGGGTTCAAATATTTCTTGCAATATTACATCTTTCTTATTTCATGTTTACAGTCAATGCATTTGATTTCAAGCCTTTGAGTGTAGTATGATCTATAAAAATGTTAAAATAAAAATAGGCTTAATTCTTAAGTAATGTTGACATTTAGAACAACCTAAATGATCACCACTTCTACCGGAAGTTCACAGACGTACTATTAGCATGAAACAAGGAGATCATCTGATTTTAGACTCAACATTTTCTAACCTTAAATTCGCCATGCTGAAATCACTACTAAACTCAAAATCTCAGGCCACCTGACTACCACAAACTACACTATACTATACCTTTTGTGTACGACTTATATACATAGAAAAACGATTTCTTTTGGAGGGGTACCAACAAAATAAAAAAAGTTTAGAGAAAGGGGCTTACCCAAGAATAGTGTTGCATTCAAAGGTGTGCCTGTTGAAGGATGGACCTTGGCTAGCCAAGAAGGAACCAACCTAGCCCTCCCAATTGCACAAAGGTACCTTGCTTGTCCCAACATAGCAACAAGAAGAGAGGCCACAATCCCTAAGCTTGCTCCACCCCCTATTACATTGCTTGCCCACTTCCAACCAATCCTTTGAAAAGCTATTGAAAATGATGCCTTTTCTGATATCTGTTCACAAATTTTTTTTAAAAAATAGTTATAATAATTAACAATGACCCAATTGGAGGAAGAACACTAGCTATTTTTCCTAGTCACATCCCATTAGGAATTCTTGGGATTGTTTCTATAATGATTACTAGTTGATGCAGCAACTTTTTGTAGAACTCAATACATTTTGATTAGTGGCTTTGGTTGAGTCTAAGAATATATGAGTTACAAATTAATGAAAGACTAGTTTGAGCCTGATTTTCAAAACTATTAGTCCAACCTATGGATTTTTGTATTGTTTTAAGATAACTAATTTGTTTTTGTTGTTTGAACTATCTCGATGGAGTGAGAGTTAAGGTTATATATTGTGTTTTTAAAACCATTCCTCAAAAGTTTATAATTCTAGATAAACATAGACTATCCTTAAAAACAAATAAAGTTGATTTTTTACCTAACATTTTTTCCCCAATTTTTCTAGAACAAATAACTACTTTTTTTTTTTTTAAAGTTGATTTTTTTCTTCTTTTCCTTGAGAACACTTTTTGCTTTCTACCGTTCTTTTATAAGTCATCCAACCACAATTCTTACAAAAGCACATCATACGATCCAGTTCCAACACAATTTAAGTACACGTTTTTCACTGAAACCCGTCATCTATTTGAAAACTCCGACCGAAAAAACTATTTTGAAAACAATCTCCGAAGGATCGAAGAAGTAGTAGTAGTGTTTGAATTCACCTGATTGTAAGGGAGCATGAGAGAGAGGGAGAGGGCCATGAGGCAATAGAGAGCAGAAGTGATGATAACAGAACCAAGTATGCCAATTGGAAGACTGTGTTTAGGGTTTTGGATTTCTTCAGCAAGAGTTGAGGCTGAGTCATAGCCTATGTAGCTGAAGTAAACAATGGCTGCACCATCCAAAACACCTTTCACTCCAAAAGGAGCCAACCCACCAGGCTTTACCAAATTCTTTGCACTTCCTTTGTACATCCCACACCCAATTATAAACCCAAAGAATATCACATGGAAAACTGTCATTATTAGGTTTAGCATTGAGCTCTCCTTTGTACTGCAAATACACACATACATCAATTAAAACGTAACTCAATCCGAGCATAATTTAGTAAATAAGTTACCTGTTAGATATCCTATAAAGTAGGATTAAGTTTTCTCTGACTCATAAGCTTAAACTGTTAGGTTGATTGGTGATTTAATCATGTTTAAAATGATATTGGAGTAGAAAGGTCCTCCGTTAGTGTTTGAACTATATCGTCATTTCTTTCCTATTTAATAATTTAATCATGCCAAATAATTTTATTGAACTTTGTGCAAATTCTAAGCCCACAAGTGAGGGAGAGTGTTAGACGTTCATTGATAGCTTAATCATGTTTAAAACTATCAATTATCTCTTTTAGGTTGAAGTTCAATCCTCTGCCCTACATTTATTGTCAAGAAAAAACCCTGTCTTTTTTATAACTATTTTGTTTTTGAAAATGATTATTTCCACTTTATTGGGCCTTGTGCGAACTTCTAAGCCCACACGTGAAGGGAGAATGTTAGAGGTTCCTTTGTAATTTAATAATGTTTAAAACTATCAATTACCTTCTTTTAGGTCGAAGTTTCAATCCTCTGCCCAATATTTGTTGTCAAGAAAAGCCTTTTTTTTAGCTATTTTATTTTTGAAAATTAAGCTTATAAACACTACTTCAAGCCAAATTTTAAAAAATTGATTTCAATATATGAAATGTGTTTAAAAAAAAAAGGTTAAAAAACATACAAAGAAAAATGGTGAGGAAACGAATATAGTTTTTTAAAACAAAAAAATTTAAAACGTAATTGTTATCCGACATAGAAGTCAATTTATACAAAATCTAAAAGCCCTATCTATACTATCTCACACAACTTTTTCCATATTAGTTCCCATAATTGATTTGTCATCCAAAAGAAATGATGAAACCCTCTTTTGAATATGGTTAGCAAGGGGGAAAAAACCAACAAATTGAGGTGGGAATTATTGGCTCAAAAACTTCTCTTTTGACCACTAAATTTGTTGAATTGGAGAATTATTATTCATTCTTCTAATTCTTTTCCTCTCCAACTAAATAGTGAAGCTAAGTTTTTTGCCAATTTGAAAATTAACCATACATATGATGATGATTTGATTTGGTCATTTAAAAAGCTACAATTTTATGCTAAATTTAGAGAGAGAGAGAGACCTGTGGCAAAGAAAGAGAGTGAGAAGAAGAATGAGAGCCACAGCTGGGAAATCCAACATATTATAACCCTTCAACAACCCATGGACTTCCACTCTCCATGCATTTGGTTCACTTTCTCCAAATGCTACACACAAATATTCTGTAAAACTTCTTGCCACTGCAGCGTTTGACAACACATATTCCATTATAATGTTTGCTCCAGCAAAATATCCCACAAACTCTCCTGTCCCCAAAAATATCTCAATCTCGTCAATCCATAATCGGTTAAATCATCATTAAACTCAAAAACTTAAACCCAGTAAGAAATTATCAGTATTAATCGGCTGTTATTGAACTCAAAAGTTTAAATTAATGGATTAGATGTTAGGGTAATTCTCATTACCAAAAGTGAGTCTTAAGTAGCTGAAGGCACCGCCGGCGGCGGAGACATGGACGGAGAACTCAGTGTAACAAAGGGAAGAGAGGAGAGCGGACACTCCGGCGATGATATAGGAAAGGAAGACGGCGGGGCCGGTGACATGGAGGGCGACGGGGCCGGTGGTGACGAAGACGCCAACGCCGAGCATTCCTCCGACGCCGAGGGCGACTAAATCGAACCACTTGAGCTTCCTTTTCATGTCAGCTCCTGATCTTTGGCGGACTTGGTTGAGTTCTTGGTCGGGAGTCCACGTGGCTAGCATTCTCTTCCTCAGCCGGTGGGGGGTTTGGGCCAGTGAGTGGAGGTAGCGGCGGAGGAAGGCGGCGGCCGCGGCCATGGCGGTGGGAGTTTGATGAAGAAGGATGAAGGGAATGGAGGGGAAGAGGGGGCTTTTTAAATATGGGTTTGGGGAGAGGATCTTGGACTTGGTAGATTAATATTATGTAAAATTATGGAAAGTTATTCTCTTTACTTTAGTATTTTTCTAATGCTATATTGTTGAAATTTGGTGTTTAAGTAATAAATTGTTGAATGCATTTTGTTAGTTTATTCTTTATTTTCTGATTTTCAGATTTCCAATTTGAACATAGACATGTATTATTATTATTTTTTTTAGGTATGAGGTTTCATCCTCGTATCTCTAAATTGTCATAAAAAAGAAAATAATGATTTTAATATGTGGAAAATATAATAACATAGTATAATGGTTTATTAAAAGAAAAAGTTATCAAGTTGCTTGAGTTTTTTTTCCCTTTTTTTTTTTAATCCAGAATTGATAGTTTTTTAGTATTTTACCCTCTATAATTTGAGGTAACGCACCCACACTTAGACTCGTGAGATATATAAAATATTTTTGGTATTAAGTTCACTAAAAAATTTGAATAGAATATCTTACATTAGGTGATACATAAACCTCATATCCTTGTCAATGGGACCGCAATCCATTTGGGAGCCAATGACTTGAATTTTTAGCTTTTCTAACATTTATTAAAAGTCCACATTTGATTATTATTGTGTAAAATTAATGATCTAGATATGCTATAGGGATGGTGGAGGATGTTAAATCAGTCCATTTTAATAAATTTGAATGAGACTTTTATACCAAATTAAACGAAAGTTAAAAACAATGATTTTCTTTTTTGGGAATTCAACAACACGTAGAGATGATCAGAATTCGAACCTTTGACTTTAACTAGTTCAACAACTATTGTGTCGTGATTGAAGACGACATCGTTAGCACCGTTTTTTTTTTAGCCTATGATCATATTTGCTACAAATATATATAACTCATCAAAATGATTCACATATGAAAGCACAAATGGTGGTGTCCAACATGTGGTTTTGAGAAGAGAATATCTGTCCTCATAAACATATATTATCAAACAGTTCTCCACCATGTGAAAAAACCCAAATGGAAACACAAAATCAAAAGGGAAAGGGCAAAAAGGGGAGAAGTGGGGCATTCAGCATTACAACTGTTTCAATAGCAACCATATATAAGGTAAATATATATGAATTTTTGTGTTGAGGAATCAAAGCCCTATTTATATTCTCAAGCCCCTTAACAAGTAACTTATTATTTTTATTTTTAATAAATATGTTTTGCTTTAACAAAGCCTGGATGCTTGCTTATGTCTTTTTCAAAAGCCTTTTTTCTTTTCTTAAAGACACATATGTATACATGTAGAAGAGAGAGAATATGCATTACACTGAAGAAGGAAAATTTTTGTGTTAAGGATAACAGTAACCATCGAACAACAATACAGAGGTTTGAATACAAGATCTCCCACTCTGATCATACCGTGTTAAGGATGAATAAACCACCACTCAATCAAAAAACTTAAACTGATGGATTCTCAACAGTGTCTTTCCTGATGAGACTTTGTTTGCACTCTTTACAATCCCAACATTTTGACCCGATAAGTCCTCTAGAATTCTCACCCTCTTCCATAGTTTTAGTGGCAAAATTAAAGCTCATTTCCAAAATGGCTTTCCTTTTTCCTTTTTATTTTTTTTCTCTCTTCCATGTTCCATGCCTTGGTTTCTATACATATAAAACTCCACAAAAGAACCTCTCTTTTGCGTACTCTTCTCTTGAAGTTCTCAAAAGCTTTACATGCGTGCCCTTGTGGAGGGAGGGAGGGAGATCGCTTTTATGCAAAATTGCTACCATTTATCGTACATTTGATTGGTGCATTTTTTATAATACTAACATGTAGGGATATGAGTGTGTTTCGAACTCACAACCTCTTAATTGGAGATACGTGCCAATTATCAATGAACGATGCTCACTTTGATACATTTAATCGGTGATTAGACTTTGTTCGATAATGTTTTTATTTTAACTTTTAAAATTTTAAAAAATTGCTTAATTTATTAACATTTCAATACATTTTCTAGTTTACCCTCAAAATTTTATTTTGAAATCTCCAGAGCTCTATTTTGGTAACCAGTGTCTTCTAATTTTAAAAATCATGCTTTATTTCTCATGATCTACTGGTATGTTTTTCATATTCCTTAGAAACATCTTTAAATTTTTAGCCAAATTTCAAAAATAAAACAAGTTCTTAAACATTATTTTCTTGACAAAGAAACACATATAGGTGTGGAAACGTAGTGTTTTCTAGGCTTGAAAAGTGAAACAAGGAAACGTAAGTATATGTAGTTTCCATTATTAACTTAATTTTAAATAACCAAAAAAAAAAACCCCATTATCAGCCACATATTTTAATTGTCCAACTTTTTAACATACTTCCAAAAGACGAATTTATATATATAAAAGAAGAGCTCCAAATAAATGATGGCACACAGTCTCGATCAATTGTACCCATTAAAATCCTAATAAAATTCAGATACCAAAAAAAAAAAAAGAAGAAAAAAAAGAAAAAATAAAAACACTTTTCCACTCAGACAATCCAAACACAGGCACCAAATAAGAACAAGAAAATAATGTCTGAAAATAAAACATATATATGGTCGGTCTCTGTTCCACTGTCACTGTTGTTTTGGTTGTTGTTGTTCTCTTAAAAAAAAAAATTCTTTTTTTTATTATTATTTTTTATTTTTGATTTTCCTTTGAAAACATGATGGGTTTTGGGTGCCATCAGAATAGAAGCTTGATAGTTAAAAAATTCCCTCTGTGTTTACTTTTATTTTTATTTTTATTTTTAGTGCAAATAAGAAAAGAAGTTGTGGGTTAAAAAAAAAAAACCTGCTGTATCCAAGAATCAAATAAGCTGTCAGATGCAATTTATTGGTTAAAATTACTTGTAAAAGCATCTCGAATCTCATCACTGTTCATTTTGGTCGTGGGTTTATTTCTTTATATTATTTATTTTTTGAGAGGTCAACATTACTCATTTAGAAATTAGGAGGCAATATTCTTATTTTTAGTTTTAAACTTTTACAAAAATTTATTTGATAATTATTTAGTTGACAAAAAAAAAAAAATTTTTGATTTTTAGAAATGAAACTAAGAGTATTTTAACGAACAATTATAAAAGATGCATTCATCTTGCTTAAAAGAAAAAGATAACAATTCATCTTACTTAAAAGAAAAAGATAATAAATTGAGTATTGTCGATCAAAGTTAAAAAATTAACTTTTCACATTTTTATCATAATGTTTTCGTCTAATTACAAGTAAATGTAAATCCATATAACCTTTAGTTTTTTTTTTCTTTTCTTTATATTTTTCAACTTATTTTTCCCTTTTTCCTAATTAAAAGTTAATGTGGTGAGTGAAACATAATATAATATATGATATATGTACATATACTTGTGAGAATATGCTTTGGGTAGTGGATTTGATATATATCTAACATATGATGACTAGAATGTTTCTCTCAAGCCTATCCATATATTGATTTTCTTTGGATTAATTTGGAGTTAATTAATAAAAAATTCCATTTGATTAGTTCTTAAAACAAAATAATACTAACTAGGATTACTTTTTGAAATCCTAATCCATAGAAATAGAATATGAAAGGAATTTGGCTGCCATAGTTGAAAGTTACTATAGAAAAGTTGACTAACTTCTGTAAAATAGAGACAGTTAATTATATATAGTATTCTAATTAATTATAATACATAACACCATAGTTATTTTTTTTAAATGTATGTATTTTTGTTTTGTGCATTCTTAGGTTCAAATCCTATACAAACATTTTCTCTTCGTCTTGTTAATCAATTTTTTTTAGTACAAGATGTGGGGTGGGGATCGAACTCACAACCTCTTGGTTGGAGACCTATGCCAATTATCGTTGAGTTATGTTCGTTTTGGCTCGATAATAAAAATTAATATCCTATCCCACATGGCATAATATCTTAACACTTTTATGTCTCAAGGTTGATTTCATGAATTTAAATCTTGTCATAAGTTACAATGTAGGTCTTGAGAATGAAGATTAATATCCAACCAATGTAACATGCCATTCAAACTCAGAGCTAATTGATCATCCCTAAAATGAATCGTGAAAAAGTTGCATTACTTTTAACAAATTAAGTTCGAATTGTTGGTTGACACGAATAAAGTTGAAGAAAACCTCTGAAATCATTTTAATATAGTTAAATTCAAAACTTTTGGAGAATACATGTTTGCCTCACAATTTTAATATTGCAGTAAAGAATATGTTATAGAAACTCGAGTTTGAATAAAATCTTTGTTTAGCTCGTCTTTAAGATTGGTAAAAGTTAGTACGCTGTACAAAAGGTACAAAAAGTACATCTCACACACGATGTGTATTGATGTAACATTAGTTTATCATGTGAGTCGAATAGATCCAACATATGAAAATACAGACTTGACTTCTTAACTTCAAATTACACTAGTTTAATCGTCTTTTCTGCTCGTATCAGAGAATTCCCTTTTCTTAATTATTAAGACAAGTATGGTAAAAATTTGAAAAAAACAAAACATTAAAATTGAAAGTGATGAGTGTGTGGATGAATTAAAGCACTCAAGAATGTGTAGTGAGTGATATTGAGTGGGTATTTTTATTTTTATTTATATGTGTAGATGCTATACTATGCTATTAACCCCACGCTTTCAAAGACAAATCATGACCTATGTTCCATGTGAGAGGGTGAGGGTGAAGGTGAGGTGAGTATTTATACATCAAAAAGGAAAAGAAAAAAAACTTTTTTTTTCATGGTTTAACCTAAAAAGAAATAATGGAGTGGTCGAAAGGCAAAAGACACAAAAAAGGAAAAAAAAAACATCATGTCGAGATTTTATGTTTCGTTTTGCAGAGAATAAATATGCTCTACGCTTTATCCAATATTCTCGTATATAAGTTTCATCCCCTAATTTTCCTCTTTTTCGTATGATGAAGAGATT